AGCAAAATAATAGATTTTCATTTGGACCAGCTTCTTCCAGTCCTTCTGGATCTTGCCCAGCAGCGAGGCTGTCTCTGAGTTCTCCAGGGCCCGGCAGGCCTCCTTGTAGTAATCCACCACCTGTGGAGAGGGACAGGGAAGAATTCCAGAATTCCAGATCCCAGGGGAACCAGGGCAGGGCAGGGGAATCACCAGCACCAGCCCAAGGACTTGGATCACCCACAGGAATGGTTGGGGGAACTCAGGGATGTGTTTGGGACCACACACAGGGACTGTCACCAGCCCAGGCTGCTCCAAGCCCTGTCCAGGGGCACTGGACACTTCGACACTTCCAGGGATCCAGGGGCAGCCACAGCTGCTCTGGAAAATCCAGTCCAGTCCCTCACCCAGCTCACAGCCAAGAATTCCCTCCCAATACCCCCCCCATCTCCCATTCCCTGTGCCCTGTCACTGCAGGCCCTTGCCCCAAGTCCCTCTGCAGCTCCTGACCCCAGAGCAGGGGGAGCAGGGCCCTGCTGGCAGCAGCTCCTGGAGCTCACCTGGGCACTGATCCTGGCCACGAGGAAGCTCTTCCTGTTGTCCAGCATGGACTTCTCCAGGAGACACTCCTGTGCCTGGCCCTGCCAGGGACAAGAGAGGAATGTTGAGTGTCCCCAGCCCCTGGGACAGCCCAGCCCCCTGGCAGGACCCACTGACTCCAGCTCCTTGCCCAAGGGGTGGATGTGGCACAGGGAATAGCAGCCCTGAGGGTGCTTGGAGAGCCCAGGAATGGCACTGAGCCTTCCCTGATCCCCCAGTGCCCCCCAAAACCTCCTTCCCCCCACCCCGGGAGAGAGCCCAGAGCCCACAGAGAGGCCCTGGGGGACACTGGGGTCCTGTGCCCTTGGATGCATGGGCAACACCAACCCCACAGACACACTGGGGGGGGTCCCAGTGCCAGCAGTGCCCCCAGCCCCTACCAGCATGAGGTTGATGTTGAGGCTCAGGATCTGGTGGCTCATGTCCACGCTGTAGGAGTGTGGGAAGTGATCCCGCAGGTAGGTGAAGGCACCAGCAGCACACTGGAAGTGGGTGCAGGAAACCTTCATACCCTGAGGGGATGGAATTGTTGGGTTTGGAGAAGACTTCCCAGATCACGGAGTCCAGCCAGCCCCCAGCACTGCCAAGGCCACCCCTGACCATGTCCCCAAGTGCCACATCCACATGGTGAAGGGCTTTTAAATCCCTTCACCAGTGGGGACTCCAGCCCTGCCCTGGGCAGCTGTGCCAGGGATGGAGAGCCTTTCCAGGAGGAACATTCCCAATATCCCAGCTGAGCCCCCCCTTGAGGCCATTCCCTCTTGTCCCGTTCCCTGGGAGCAGGGCCTGACCCCTGGCTGTCCCCTCCCCTTCCCCAGCTCTGCTCCAGCAGCCCCTCAATGTCATGAACCCGGACACCCCAAACCCCAGAGGTTCCAGGTTCCTCCCAGAGCCCAGCACAGGGACAGTCCCTGCCCTGTCCCACCCAGCTGGCACTGCCCTGGTGCCCCAGAGGGACAGAGGGGTCGTTACCTCCTCGGACACGCGCTTGTCCATGGCTCCCAGCATGGAATGCAGAGCTCCTGTGGGGACAGGCGGGGGCTCAGCGGGGCAGGGACACCCCAACACCCCTGGGAACGGGGGCTTGGGCCAGGAGCCCCAGGGCTGCTGGAGTCAGGGAGCTCACCCAGGTTGTAGAGGACACAGGCCTGCTCGTACTTGATGTCCTCGTGTGTCACTGCCTTGCCCGAGAAGATCTCAGTCCTGGGGGGAAGGGGCACAGGACAGGGAGCAACCAGGGATTCTCCCAGGAGCAGGAATTACTGGGAACCCCATTCCCCAAGGGTCCCTGGGACTCCCCTCTGCAGGACCCCATTCCCCTGGGGCTCCCCAGGGCAGGACCCTGTTCCTCAAAGGTCCCCTGTGATCCCCCTGGGCCACCCCAGGCAGGAGCACATTCCCCAGGACATCACTGGGCCAGCCCTGTGCCACCCCAGGCAGGACACTGTCGTCCCCAAGGGGTTCCTGGGATCCCCCAGTGCCACGCTGGGCAGGACCACATTCCCCAAGGGGTTTGCAGTTCCTGGAGCAGCCTTTTCCCAGGAAATGGGCATGGCCATATCCTGCACAGCTCAGCCCCCCATCCCAGTTCCTGATACCCCATCCCATCCCATCCCATCCTGGATCCCACACCCCAGTCCTCCCATCCCAGATCCCCCATCCCAGATACCCCATCCCATCCCCTCCCAGATCCCCCATCACAGCCCAGCTCCACATCCCAGCCCCCCGTCCCGGATCCCCCATCCCATCTCAGATCCCCCATCCTGGCCCCCCACCACATCCCAGATCCCCCATCCCATCCTGGATCCCCATCCCAGACACCCTCATCCCATCCCATCCCATCCCAATGCCATCCCTCACCATGTGACAGGCACGGCCGCCTCCTGGCCCTGCCCCATGGGGATGCGGCTCTGCAGGAAGTGCAGCTGCCCCAGGTACTTGCGCAGGGTGCTGCAGCCCTCGAAGTCCCGGGGGACGCTGACGGCGCTCTGCGAGCAGGGAGGGGAGGGACAGAGTCTGGGGACACGTTCCAGGCAGGAACGGGAGCTGTCCTGCAGGGGAGGCTGAGCCAGCAGCATGGGATGGGACAGGGCTCCTGGAAAGCCTCGGGAGCAGCTGAGTGCTCCCAAAAACGAGCCCAGGGAGGGGGATGGGGAAATGAGGCTTTGCACCCCCGGCACAGCTCCCAGGGCTGGGAGATCCACGGGAGTTGGGTGTCCTGGGGCACACAGGGGAGGAGGGAACAGCAGCAGCACCTGGGAAGGTTCCCTGCCCTCCTGCCTCGAGAAATCCCAGCGCTGGGCTGGGGCTGCCTGGGCCCCCCAGCTTTGGGGACCCTGGGGCCAGCACCAGGAGCTGTCCCTGCTGCCCCCAGCCAGCAGCTCATGGCCCTGGATCGCTGGGATCACCCACGGGCTGCTCCGTGGGCCACGGGACGGGCAGAGGAGCAGCCCCAGCCCGGGGGGTCGGCACGGCCACCCCAGAGCCCCCCCTCACCTGCCGGAGCAGCTCCAGCTTCCGCAGCTCCTCATTGTAGTTCTCCGGGTTCTCCCCATAGTTCTTCAGCACGAACTGGGAGACGGGAGAGGTTGAGCGGCCCCGGAGCCCCTCCCAGCCCCGGAGACGCCGCCGGGCGGCGGGGACACCGGGCCGGGCTGCGGGGACACCGGGCCGGGCGGCGGGGACACCGGGCCGGGCGGCGGGGACACCGGGCCGGGCGGCGGGGAGTTTGACGCCCACGGACGGCTCAGAGGATGAGATCAGGGAAGGGGATCGGGGAATGGCTGAGGTTGGAAAAGGGACTAAAGGGCGGAGGGAAGGTCCCCCCGGCTCCAAAGTGTGTTGGGGACACTCCCAGGGACCGCCCGTGTCCCCCGCAAAACCGCGAGAGGAGCGACACAAGGCTGGGGATCCCCCCAGCCCTCCCCATCCATAAATTCTGTGGCACAGGAAGCGGCGGACAGGGGTGGAGCTTGTTTCCAGCCGTTCATTAAGTGACTAATTAATTACCCGGCCCCCGCGGGGGTGGCACGGACACGGCGGCTCCGGGCAGGGGGGTCCCGTCCCTCGCTGCCCGCCCCGATCCAAACCCCCAGCTCCGGGCCCGGCGGCTCCAGGGACCCCCCTGGCATCCCGCCCGCCGTTCCCCCTGCCCTGGCCTTCCGAAGGCAGCGGGACCTTCCCGGTTCCCTCCCGGCCCCGCCCCGCCCAGGCCCCGCCGGCCCTCCCTGGCCCCACCTTCTTGACGGCGGCGTTGAAGGCGAACTCCCCGGCCTCCTTGAGGTCGAGCCAGATCATGGGCATGCGGGGCACGGCCTCCATCCCGCCCGCTCCCGGCACGGCCCGGCCCCGCTCCCGGCGCGATCCCGGCACGGCCCGGCCCGCCGGAACCGCGCGCGGGGGCTCGCGGGACACCGAGTCCGCGCGACACTTCCGGGCCCGTTCCCATGGCGACGCCACGCCCCACCCCTAAGAAGGGGTGATCGTGCGGCCACGCCCACCCGGGGCGGGACAAGCGCTGTTGCCATGGGGACGCCTCGCCCGCTGATTGGAGGACACGGACCTTGTCGCGGAAAAGCCCCGCCCCGGAGGCGGTGCAGTTACCATGGCAACAGGCCATGCCTAGCCCCTCCCTTTCAAGGCTCCTCTATTGGGGTGCCGTTAATTAATGACCCCGTTAATTACCCTTCTCCCCACCTCCCGCGGCCCCCCAGGGTCTGGTTGGGTATTTGGGAGTCCAGGACGCCTCGGCGGTCCCAGGGACACCTCGTTCTGCCCCAGGGCTGTTCCAACAACACGGATCAACCAGGGTAACAGGAGCTTATCCTACAATATTCCAGTAATGCATTTAACCCGTTAACGTAACCATCTGCTCTGTTAATTATCTGATGCATTAATCTAGTTGTTTGAGCCATTGGCAGAGCTCTTCGATGGGTTCTGGTACCCCAGCAGCTTCCAGGATCCCAGCAGGAGCACACCTGAACCACTGCTTCCAGCTGGGAGCTGCGCCCTGCCTCACAGCCACTGTGTCCCTGTCCCGACTGCGGGCCCCAGGGACTGGGGACACCAGGAACCAAGGACATTGGGACACTGGGGTTCAGGGAAATGGGGCTACCTGAGCCTGGGACATGGGGACAGCAAGCCATGGTGAGCCAAGGTGACCATGGGGACACAGGGTGGGCTCCGGCTCCTGTGGGGAATCTCAGCTCCAGCACCTGGAGCATCCCCTTCCCCTCCCACTGAATCCCTATTTTTATCCCTTTTAGGCAAAACCAGAAAATAAAAAAGCTTTGGAATCCAAACACATTAAAACTACGGGTTCATGTTTAATTCCCTGACTCTGGTGTCGCTGAATCCTCCTGGTTCTTCCACAGGGAATCTGCCCTGCTGCTCCAGCCTCTGGATAGATCCCTGTGGGATAACATGATGCCTCTGCATCACCACGGAGGGAGCCTGCAATGGGAAAGGCAGGAGTGTCAGTCACCCGCCTTGCTGCCCTTGGATCCCCTGTTCTCCCCAAAGCCCACTGGGCCTGCGGTGTCCAGACCCACCCTGGGATGTCCAGGATGTCCATAACCACCCCCGGGATGTCCATAACCACCCTGGGATGTCCATAACCACCCTCAGGGTGTCCAGGTGACCATAACCACCCTGGGATGCCCAGGTGTCCATAACCACCCCCGGGATGCCCAGGTGTCCATAACCACCCCCGGGATGCCCAGGTGTCCATAACCACCCTGGGATGTCCAGGATGTCCATAACCACCCTGGGATGTCCAGGTGACCATAACCACCCTGGGATGTCCATAACCGCCCTGGGATGTCCAGGATGTCCATAACCACCCTGGGATGTCCATGACCGCCCTGGGATGTCCATAACCGCCCCCAGGATGTCCAGGTGTCCATAACCACCCCCGGGGTGTCCGGGGTTTCCATAACCGCCCCCGGGAGGTGCCGAGAGCGGCCTCAAACGGCCCCAGGATGCTCTGGCAGCGCTGCAGGAATGGTGGGAGCCACGCCAGGCCCCCCCATGCTGGAGCCTGCGGCGGGAAGGGCCCGGGACATCCGGGCACGGCACAGCCCGGGCCCTGCAGGTGGCACTAGCAGCTCAGTGGCACTCCAGGAGTGCCCTGCTGGAGCCAGGGGTGACACGGGGACAGCCCAGGGCCTGGCAGGGTCCCGGGAGCCGAACTGCCCGACATTCCCGTGGCATTCCGGCCCTGCAGACCCCCCTGGGCAGACAAGGAGCACGGGCAGAGCTGGGGCTGGCCCTCACCTGGGCAGTGGTGTCAGCAAGTAACTCCTGCCAGGATGGAGCTCCGTGTCTCGGTCACAGCATTCCCATGGAATTTCAGCCGTGGGAGACGAGGGGCTGAGGCCTTAGTAGCCTTAATTAACCAAAACTAAGCTAATTACGGTGCTAGGTCCCTTGAATCCATTTCTTTCTTCCCAGTGCCTTCCTGAAGCGCTCTGGGTCCTTGGAGCAGGAACCTGGAATGGGGAAGGGCAGGAATGTCACGGGCCCCACCGCGCCCGGGGGTTTCGGGCTCCCGCAGTCCTCCCATGTCCCACCCAGCCCGGGCATGTCCGGGGATTCTATGACCGCGCCCGGGAGGCGCCGGGAGCGGCCTCAAACGGCCCCGGGATGCTCTGGCAGCGCTACAGGAATGGCAGGGGCCACGCCAGGCCCCCCCATGCTGGAGCCTGCGGGGGGAATCCGCTCCCGAGGGAGCCTCGATCCCCGAGGTCAGCCCAGGACAGCCCCGGCGGCCCTGCCCGGAACGCACCGCACCCCGCGGCCCCTCGCGAGCGCGGCGGGGCCCGATGGGCGGGAAGCGCGGCACCCCGCGCGGCCCCGAGAGTCATCGGAGGTGCAGCGGCCCGCGGAGGCGGCCCCGGCAGCGGGAGGCCGCGGATGGCGGTGGATGCGTACGGGCCGCCATCCGCTCTCACCTGCTCCAGCGGCGGCCATGCTTAGAGAGGGGGCGCTTGCTGATGACGTCACGGACATGCGGGGGAGGCGGGATCAGCGCGTTTAGCGCACGGGTGGGCCGGGCCAAAAAGGGGGCGTGGCCTGAGGTCCCGTGTGTGGTCTCATTGTGACATCACAATGGAGGCGGGGATATGGGCGCGGTTTCACTGTGATGGGCGTGGTCAGCAGTGCACCGTGTGAGGGCGTGGCTTTGAGGTGGGCGTGGCTCGCTGCCCTGACCGTTTGGCGCAGGCGCACTGCTCTTGTCTCCCCCCGGCGGCGGGACGATGACGTCACGGAAGGCGCCGCCCAAGATGGTGGCGGGGCCGAGCCGCGGGCGCTGAGGCGGCGCCGGGACCGGGACCGGGTTTGGGACAGGGACCGGGATCGGGAACGCCACCGGGAGGCGGGGCTGGAGCGGGAACAGGGCGGGCCATGGCCGGCGCCGCCGCTGCCGCGCGTTGAGGCCCAGCCGCTCACCCGGGCCGGGATGCCCCGGGGGGGGCCCGGGCCGCCGCCGGAGCCATGGAGGAGGAGGGCAAGAAGGGCAAGAAGGTGAGATCGGGGGCAGAGGGGCAGCGGGGTCGCGCTGTGCCCCCGGGGGAGGCTCAGCCTGGGCGGGGCCGCCCCCTCCGCCGGCTCAGAGCCCCCCGGCGGTGCCCGGTGCCCCCCGGCCGTGCCCGGTCCCCTCCCGGGGCTGTTCCAGAGCCCCGTCCCGGGAGGCACCGGCTGCCGCTCCCCGGGACAGTCTGCCTGCATCCCCTTCCCCAGCGCCCCCAGCCCGGAACCCCCGCTGTCACTGAGGGTTTGGAGAAGGTTATTAATTGATGGGGTTATTAGTTATGGAGCGATTAATTGATGAGTTTCCTAACTTATTTAAATTGTTGCTGATACGAGTTAATTTAATTCATGCATCTGTTAATTGATGCCTTTCTCATGTCTCTGGGCTCAGCAGCACCAGCCATGCCTGTGTTGCCCTGATTTCCCTCCTTCCAGCCCATTTCTGTATCCCTGGGAGAGGCTCAGCCAGAGCTGCTCTGCACAGTTGGAGCAGGAGGATGGAGCTGATCCCAGCGTTTGGGGGGAAATTGGGGATTTTGGGAGCCCCTGGCCTCGCAGGGAGCCCAGAGGTGGCAGCAGGATCCTGCTGGAGCTGAGCAAAACATTTCCAGAATGAGTGAAGTTGAGTGGGATTTTTTGGGAATTGGCCCTCAGGCTTCCCAGACAGTCAGGCTTGGGAATGCAAGCCCCGTGATGCCATCAGAGACAGGATGGTCCTGCTTTTGGGAAGGAGTCAGCTCCCAGGGCGCCAGGGGCTTTAGGCAGAGCTCAGGTGTGCCTCACCTGCTCCCTGGGGCACCCCACTGTGGTTCCTGGCACTGGGGAGAGTCTGGATCCTTCCCTCCTCCCTTCCCCAGGGACACGTTGGGCTGGCCCCCCTAACCCCGTTATAATCCCACCTGGATAATCCCACCTGCATTCCCTCTGATCCCTAAAGCCTCCTCAGGCCCTTTCCCAGGGCTGGTCCCACTCCTGTCCTGTCCCAGTCCCTCTGGAGCAGGGCTGAGGTGGCACCTGGCAGTGCCGTGGCTGTGGCCTCTTCTCAGCTGACCCACGGCCTTGGGGAGCTCCCTTGGAGTGAGTTTCCCATGGCTCTGGTGGTGATTGACCCCTGGAGCTGCTGCCTGTGGATCACCATTGAACTTGGACAAGTTGGCTGCAGAGATGGGCAGATCCATCCTTGTCTTCCCCGGGTGTTCCAGCTGCAGGGAGAGCTCTCCTTCCTGCTTTTCCCACTCTCTGGATCATCCCAGCAGCACTCTGAGCTGAGGGGAAGGCCTTGAGTTCCCTCAGTGCTCATCCAAAGGGAGCTCAGAGCAGCTGTGCTTGGGCTAAGGAGGAAAATCCCAGCCTGGCTTTGGGGCCGAATCCAGCTTTGGATAAAACCTGAACTGGTTTAAGCTGGAGCCCTGGAATTCCCTGGGTCTCACTGTGGTTATCCCAGTGGGCAGGGGGAGCTGTCTGGGATGAAATCCCATTTCCCACAAGTCCTGGGAGGCAGGATGGATCCCTCTGGAATTCTGCCCAGCCACGGGTTGGTGTCACACCTGGAGCCCCAGGTGAGGCTGGATGCTCCCAGCCTGCCCATTCCCAGGAACAAGTGGGGGTGGAGGTGAATTTCCTGGGAGTGATTGCCCTGCTGCTCTGCCTCCACAATCCCTGCCAGGGACCCAGGGTTTCCCTGAGGGAATTCCCTGTGCATTTAGCTTTTAGTGTGGAATTCCCAGCTCTTCCAGCTCGGGGGTGCCCTGGAGGACTGAGGCTGGTGCCTTTTGCCTCTCTCAGCAGCTCCTTCTGCCTTTCCCTCCTGAAACATGGACTGGCTGAGCTTGGGGTTGCATCTCTGGGGGACATTCTTCTTGAAATTCCTTTGTTATCCCGAATTTCCAGCCCTGTGCCTGGGCTGATCCCAGCGTGGGCAGCAGGAAATGGGGGATTCTGCCCCTCAGGTGAGACCCCACCTGCAGAGCTGCCCCAAATCCACCAGCACAAGGACCTGGAGCTGCTGCAGAGATCCAGAGGAGGCCCAGAGCTGCTGCAGGGCTGGAGCCCCTCTGCTCTTTGGGATAAAGTGGATTTTGGAGTGTCCATGGGATGCAGGGGGAGTGTGGATGTGCTGGGAGGGTGGGAATTGGGGTGGAGGAACTTCCACTGTCCCAGGTGCCCCCAGCCCTGTCCAGCTGGCCTTGGGCACTGCCAGGGATGCAGGGGCAGCCACAGCTGCTCTGGGCAGGAAGAAGCTGCACAGCCCATGGACCCAGAGGGCTGTGGGATCTTTGGGGTTGGGAAAGCCTCTGGGAGCAGCACCTGGGATCCAGCTGGGTGTTAGAACAGAACAACTCCGAGCTTGGGAGAGAAACCAGGGCTCAGCCTCCCTCGGCACGGGGGTGTTCCCTCCTGGGTGTGGCTGTGGCAGAGCATGCAGGACTGGGGGTGTCCCAGGGATTTGGGGGTGCAGGAGGCAGGGTGGGAGCAGGGATTGGGCTCGTGCCCTGCCGTGGGTCCCTCCCCAGCTCAGTGTGTCACGTGGCACACAGGAAGCCGTGGCACTTCCTGGCCCCGAGCGCCTCCATTGCAGCACCCCAAAAGGAGGGGAGCCTTCCTTCATTGCCTGCTCCCCCAGAGCTCCCCCAGAGCCCCTGCAGCCCCCCAGCACGGCTCCTGCTCCCCGGGGGGTTCCATGGAGGACGAGGTGGGTGCTGGCCTTTTTGGGGTGCCCCAGAAGCAGGAGCTGCTCCAGGCTGCATCACAGCCCGAGCTGCTCCAGCCGGGGCCTGGGGGCCCTGCTCCTGCCCAGGACAGCCAGGGGGGCACGGAATCAGCCCAGCCCGAGGGCTGCAGCCACATCCTGGAGGGAAAAGGGGCTTTCTCTGGGTTGGGGCGGGCTGGGACCCTGCCTGGTGAAAGGGGAAGTGTCTGGGTGCGACCTTGGCCCCGGTGGCACATTCCTGCCTTGCTCTGCTTTGGAGTCCTGAAGGATTCCTGAAGGATTCCTGTGGAATTGAATCCTTAGGCACTGGCAGGCAGGATTTCAGATGGGACATCCCAAAGCTGGAGAGTCCTCAAATGTCAGTTCTTGGTACACTGACCTGTTGTGTCCAGGATTGCCTTGTCTCCAGAGCCCAGCCCCTTGGCAGGATGATGGAATATCCTGGATGCTCTGTGTAGGGATGCTTCCCAAAAATCCACACTGCTGCTCCTGAGGCAGGGCTATGGAGCTGTTTCCTCTCCTCTCTGTCCTGTAAGATCCCTTCATTTCTGTCTCCCTGATCCAGGGGACGCTTTTCCAGGCCAGGCTGTCCACAATGTCCTTGTGTTTCCTTGTGAGCTGGTAATTCCCATTGTCCCAGGAGCTTTTCCTTGGGTTATAATTAATTAATCCACAACTGGAAGCATGTTCTCTGCCCCTTCAGATCCCACATTCCTTTCCTTGCCCCTGAGGATCAGGAATGCAAGGATGTGGTTGTCCTGAGGGGTGGGAAGCAGAGGCCACCAGGGAATAGGACACTAGAGTCACATGTCCAAGGAGTTCCTAAATCCAGCCATGGATCTGTCTGCTCCAAACACCCCCTGCCCCTGGGAGAGCTGGAATTGGAGCAGTTTGGGGATGTTCCCAGTCATTTATCTGGTGTGGAGCTTGGTGAGATCCACGTGGCATTCCCATGCCAAAGGACAGCTGCGTGTTGGCTCCAGAGGCTTTCCAAATCTAGCACTGCAGGGTTTAGAATTGCCCATTTTTCCCAGGGAAATCCACTTTCTGTGTCATTTTCTCATTGTTTGGAGTCTCCTTGGAACATTCCTGCCTGTTTTTTGGCATTCCTTGTTGAGTTGCACCATCAGATCCTCAGGGAAGTACAAAACCATGGAGAATCCCTTTGAATCTGCTATTCACCTGGAATATATTGTTGTATGTAAGAATTGGTTTTCTCTTACCTGGAAGGTTGATCATGGTGACTTTGGGGGAAAACCACCATATTTTGGTAGTGGGAACATTCAGCAGTTGCCTTGTGTCCCAGGAAAAGGGTTTTCTCTGGAAATCCATGGATGGATAGTTCCAAAGCACACGTTGTCCCTGGGGCAAAAGCAGCAGGATGGGATTGAGGGTCACTAGGCAGGAGGGGCTGTGGGAGTTGCACCATCAGATTCTCAGGGAAGTACAAAACCATGGAGAATCCCTTTGAATCTGCTATTCACCTGGAATATATAAAATCCAATATAAAATCCAACTCCTCCTGTATGTAGGAGTTGGATTTCTCTTACCTTGAGAAGGTTGAACACTGTGACTTTGGGGAAAAACCACCATGTTTTGGTAGTGGGAACATTCAGCACTTGTGTTGTGTCCCAGGACACAGCAGGAAAAGGGATTTCTCTGGAAATCCATGGATGTGTAGCTCCAAAGCGGGTGTTGCCCATGGGGCAGAAGCAGCAGGATGGGATCGAGGGTTGCCGGGCAGGAGGGGCTGTGGGAGCCCCAGTGCCAGTGCCAGCCCCACACTGACCCTGGTGCTGTTGCTGTCCCCAGCCTGGCATCGTGTCCCCGTTCAAGCGCGTGTTCCTGAAGGGGGAGAAGGGCCGGGACAAGAAGGCCCAGGAGAAGGTGACGGAGCGGCGCCCGCTGCACACCGTGCTGGTGGCCCCGCCCGACCGCGTGGAGCCCGACCTGCTGCTCCACGACTACATCGAGAAGGAGGTCAAGGTAGCCACGGGGCCTGCTCCTGGGAACCCTTCCTGATAGCCCAGCTGCCACTGGGAACCCAGTCCCCTTGTGCAGAGCTCCTCTCCAGCTCTGCTGCAGCCCCCCAGGCACTGCAAGGGGCTCTGAGGTTTCTGTGGGGCTTCTTTTTGAGCACTCCCACCTCTCACCCATCTCCAGTTGTCCTTAGAGCATCTCCATGGCTCGTTTTGCCACGTCCAGGATGGTGTCCACGCTGTGGTAATGGTTTGGCTCTTCTCTCCCAGTATTTAGGGCAGCTCACTTCCATCCCGGGGTACCTGAACCCCTCCAGCCGCACGGAGATCCTGCACTTGATCGACAATGCCAAGGTGAGCGCTCAGCTGCTCTGGGACTGCCTCCAGCAGGTTCAGATCCAGGCTCCCAGGGCCTCCTCAGCCCTGGGCCAGCTGCTGCTCTCCATCCTGCTGCTCCCAAAGGGCAAACACCCCTGGGATGGATTTCCCAGGGAAGCTGTGACCCCATCCCTGGAGGTGTTCCAGGCCATGCTGGATGGGGAGCAGCCTGGGGCAGTGGAAGGTGTCCCTGCCCATGGCAGGGAGCTGGATAATCCTTCAGCTCCTTCCAGCCCCAGCCATTCCATGAGTAAATCCATGGTGTTGCTGGTGTTGCAGAGAGCCCACCAGCTCCCGGGGCAGCTGACCCCGGAGCACGACGCCGTCATCAGCCTCTCTGCCTACAACATCAAGCTGGTGTGGAGGGACGGGGAGGACCTGATCCTCAGGGTGCCCATCCACGACATCGCCTCCGTCTCCTACATCCGGGATGACTCCGCACACCTGGTTGTGCTCAAGACAGGTGAGCTGTGCCCAGGGAGCTGGGATTGTCCTCTGGGAGCCACCTGGGACAGTGGGAGATGTCCCTGCCCGTGGCACCAGGTGGGGCTGGGGGATCTTCAAGGTCTCTCCAACCCCGAGCATTCCATGAGGGTTCCATGATGACACCTCAGTCCCTGTCCTGTGCATGTCACACCTGCGTGGTGTGGGAACATGGTTTGGGGAGTGTGGGGAGCCCTCTAAATGAACTGCAACAGGGGAGGGCTGAGCCAGGGATTTATCTGAGTACAAACCTCATAGAGAGGCTGTGGAATAAAGGAATAAATGCCTCGGGGGCTGGAAATCTGCTGATGGAATTCTGAGCTGTGAAAACAGCCAGACAGCTGTCAAACCCAGCTCTAAACTGGAGGCTTTTCATCCCATTCTCCTGCTTCAGGGCTCTTGCTCACCTGCAGGACCCCTTCCCACCCCCTCCCTGCCCTGGCCTGGCCTCACCTGTCCTCTCCCCTCAGCTCAGGATCCCGGGATCTCGCCCAGCCAGAGCCTGTGTGCCGAGGGCTCCAAGGCGCTGACGTCGGGCTCGCTGTCAGAGAGCGCAGGGGGGCCGCTGGAGTCCTGCTGCCTGGTGGTCCTGGCCACAGAGAACAAGGTATGGATGGCTCTCACTGCTCCATGGAGCCCTGGCAGTGCCCCAGCCTGGGCTCAGAGTCATTGGGATTGCTGGGAGGTGCTGGCTCTCGGGTCGTGGTGATGGTGGAACCACAAAATCCACAGTGGCCAAGTCCTGTGGTGTGTCTGGGTCCTTCCCTGCTCTCACACCTCGTGGGACACAGATTTAGGGATGCCAGGTGTGGTTGGGCCTTGCTGGAGCACTTGGAGAAGGACTCCTGATCCCTGTGCCAACCCTGGGGCACAGGAGGGTCTCCAGGAAGTGTTTCCCTTGGTCCCTGTTGTCCAGAACCTTCTGCAGCAGCACAGAATCCATGAGGACAATCCCACAATGGGGTTTTGCTGATCGGGGTGTTTTCCCTGTGCTGAGCTGGGAATTTGTTTCATCCAGTGTCTGGATCCAGGGATTCCAGTCTCAGCCTCTCTGATCTCCACTGAGGATGGAGCTTCACTGCCCACATTCCCAGCTCTGACATTCCTCTGGGATGAGCCAGAATCCCAGGGAGCTGCATGGGGGAGCCTCAGCACAGAACATGGGGGGCTCCAGGGTCGATGCTGGAGCATCCCAGCTCCTGCTGCTGGGTGGGAGAGGGTGGGGATGCTGGGAGGGTGATGGGTCTGGGCTCTGTGCCCTCCCTGTGCTCGTGGGGGACCAGCACCCGTCCCACAGAGCCAGAGGGAGAGGGAATATCCCTGCGTGGGCTCTGCCACGGCTCCCTGCTCGTCCCCAGGTGGGTGCTGAGGAGCTGTGCTCCCTGCTCAGCCAAGTCTTCCAGATCGTTTACACCGAGTCCACCATCGACTTCCTGGACCGCGCCATCTTCGACGGCGCCTCGACGCCCACGCGGCACCTGTCCCTGCACAGCGGTGCGTGTGTCCTGCTGCAGGGCTGCTCCTGCCCCCAGCACCTCCCTGGGGCCATGCAGAGTCACAGCTGGGGGTGACTGGGGTTGGGAAAGCCTCAGGAACCCCCTGAGCCCACCTGGCACCTGTCCCTGCACAGCGGTGCGTGTGTCCTGCTGCAGGGCTGCTCCTGCCCCCAGCACCTCCCTGGGGCCACACAGAGTCACAGCTGGGGGTGACTGGGGTTGGGAGAGCCTCGGGAACCCCTGAGCCCACCTGGCACCTCCCTGGGGCCACACAGAGGCACAGCCAGGGGTGGGTGGGCTTGGGAGAGCCTCAGGAACCCCCTGAGCCCACCTGGCACCTCCCTGGGGCCATGCAGAGGCACAGCAGGGAGTGACTGGGGTTGGGAAAGCCTCAGGAACCCCCTGAGCCCACCCAGCACCTCCCTAGGGTCACACAGAGTCACAGCAGGGAGTGACTGGGGTTGGGAAAGCCTCAGGAACCCCCCAGGGCCACACAGAGCCACAGCCAGGGGTGGTTGGGGTTGGGAAAGCCTCAAGCCTGGCCAGCCCCCAGCACTGCCAAGGCCACCGCTGACCATGTCCCCAGGTGCCACATGCACAGGGTGGGGACTCCACCCCTCTCTGGGCATCCTGTTCCAGTGCCTGACCACCCTTTCCATGAAGGAATCTTTCTGAGATCCAACCTGAACCTCCCCTGGCACAACCTGGTCGGGCTCTTACCTGGTCCTTCATTCCTGGCCTCCTCCCTTCCAGCCATGTCAGAATCACTTTGTGTCTCTCCTGGCTTGGGAAAACACTGAGTTCATGCCTCTCACACTCCATCTCCCACATTTTCCCCCTGCAGATGACTCTTCCACCAAAGTGGATGTGAAGGAGCCCTTCGAGGCGGATGCCAGCACTTTGTGAGTGATCCCTGGCCCCTGGAGCTGGGATTAACCCGGATCTGCTGCCCTCAGCACCCCAGGGAGCTCAGCTGAGCCTGGCCAGGCCTGGGGGGCTTGGCACGGATCCTGGGCCTGGATTGTTCTGCCCTCAGCATTCCAGGAGTCACATCCCTGTGTCAGCACAGTGCAGGGTCAGCAGCTGGAGCTGGGAGCAGGGTTTTCCCCAAAACTTGTTATTTGGGAAGCTTCTCCCTCCTGGAAACATCAACAGGGGGATGAAATGGTTTGTGTGGGATGAAATCCTAACACACAAACCATTGGTTAACATAGAGGGGTACTCTAGGAATGTTTGACATGGAGGAATTAGGAACCTCGTTGAAAATTGCACATTTAAGCCCAAGGAAGGAGCATGGGGATTTTTCCCTGTGTTGCTCCCAGCAAGGAAGCAGCCAGAGGGATAATTCCCCACAGAGGGCTTTGTTGTCAGTGTCACCAAAGCAGTGTTCAGTTCCCTGGGAGTCGTGGGGTGCCCTCAGGGCTGGGGGCTCCCAGAACCATGGGCTGTCCTGGCGTGGGAGGCACTCCAGGGATCCTGGCCCTGCACCAGCCTCCCAGCCATGGCAGCAGCACCTCCCAGCCCCCCAGGGCTGCCTGGAGAGCTGACCCTGTGCTGGCTGTGTCAGTTCCTTTGCAGACACGCTGGAAGCAGGGGACACGTCCCCGTCCTCCTTCTCAGCCCGCCCGTCCCCACACGTCACCACGGCCAGCGAGAGCGAGCTCAGCACCACGGCCACCGAGCTGCTCCAGGACTACATGATGACGGTGGGATTTGGGCTCTGGGATTGGGGGGCAGGAACTGGGGCTGGGAACAGGCCTGGGGGCAGGGACAGGGCTGGAGGAGCAGCTTGTCCTCGTCCTTCCCAGCCAGGCTGGGCTTGGAGGGCCTGATCCTGGGCTCATGTCATGGAACCATGGAATGGTGTGGGGGAAAGGGGCTGTGAGGATGATCCCATCCCATCCCATCCCTGCCATGGCAGGGACACTTTCCACTAGCCCAGGCTGCTCTGTGCTCCATCCAACCTGGCCTGGGCACTTCCACAGCTGCTCTTGGAAATCCATTCCAGTCCCTCACTACCCTCCCAGCCAAGAATTTCATCCCAGTATCCTATCTAAATTGCCACTTTTCCAGTGGGAGCCATTCCCTGTGTCCTGTCCCTCCCTGCCTTGTCCCCAGTCCCTCTCCAGCTCTGCTGGAGCCCTTCAGGCCCTGCAAGAAGGGACTCTGCCTGGAGCCTTCCCTTCTCCAGGTGAACATTCCCAGCTCTCCCAGCCTGGCTCCATCCCTCAGCAGCTCCAGGGCCTCCTCTGGACTCTGCCTGTCCCACAGGAGCATTTTCCCCCCCACCCTTTTCCCTTTCCCAGCATCCAAGTCCCCCCATTCCCTGAGGCTCCAGGAGTCCCTTTCCTGTCCCTGGCAGCCCCGGGGCAGTGCCAGAGGTGTGTGCTGGCCCTGCCCTGTCCCTGGCAGCCCGGGGCAGTGCCAGAGGTGTGTGCTGGCCCTGCCCTGTCCCTGGCAGCCCTGGGGCAGTGCCAGAGGTGTGTGCTGGCCCTGCCCTGTCCCTGTCCTGTCCCTGGCAGCCCCGGGGCAGTGCCAGAGGTGTGTGCTGGCCCTGCCCTGTCCCTGGCAGCCCCGGGGCAGTGCCAGAGGTGTGTGCTGTCCCACAGCTGCGCACCAAGCTGTCCTCTCAGGAGATCCAGCAGTTTGCCATGCTGCTGCACGAGTACCGCAACGGCGCCTCCATCCACGAGTTCTGCATCAACCTCAAGCAGCTCTACGGGGACAGCAGGAAATTCCTGCTCCTGGGTGAGTGGGGCGCGGCTCCAGGGCCAGGAGAACAGAGCTGAGGGGTGCAGGGGGGCCTTGGGGTGCCACCACCAGAGGAGAAACATCCCAGTCCATCTCCTGGGGGTCATGGTGCCCTCAGGAGACGGGGGCTTCCAGAATCATGGACTGTCCTGGCTTGGGAGGCGCCCCAAGGATCTGAGCACAATTCCTGGCCCTGCACAAACCCCCCAGCAATCCCAGCAGCACCTCCCTAGGCACCCCAGGGAGCTGTGGAGAGCTCACCCGTGCATTCCTCATTCCTGAGGGCAGCTGGGCCATCCAGCCCAGCTCATCCCACAGCTTCAGGCTCTCCTCTGAGCTGTTTCCCTGCTCACACCTGCCTGTGAAGCACCTGGGAACCTCCTCCAGGTCCAGGCACCCTAATCCAGACCTGGGAACCTCCTCCAGATCCAGGCACCCTAATCCAGACCTGGGAACCTCCTCCAGATCCAGGCACCCTAATCCAGACCTGGGAACCTCCTTTAGATCCAGGCACCCTAATCCTGACCTGGAAACCTCCTCCAGAGTTGAGACTCTCTCCCAAACCTAGAGCCAGGGAATGTAATTCAGACTTGGAAATCTCCAGGCCAGGAGACCTCCTCCAGAGCAGGGATATTTAAACAACCTGGCCTCTGATATCCAAGGAAAACAGGTCAGGAACACAGCATCCTCCCAGGACAGGAGCAGTGTCTGACTGCACCTGGGGCCTCTGATATCCAAGGAAAAGGGAGTCAGGAATTTAAAATGCCCACAGAGCAGGAGTAGTGGGTCCCCCTCACCCCTGGGGACACCAAGGGGACAGGACAGTTGTCCCTGATGGGACAAATCATTGAGATAAGCTCAGCAAAGCCCGGCAGGATGCCGGGTGAGGAATTAGATGGTTTGGAGCTCAGAAAACCCCACGAGAGCCGATTTTGCCCTCGGTGAGCAGTGGCTGCAGTCTCGGGTGTGAATGAGTGGGGCACCCTGGGGGTCCCTGTCCCTCCCAGGGAGGCTCCCGGGCTCGGGAACGAGCCGGGTGAGGAACCCCGGCACTCACCGTGTCCCTGCTGTGCCCGGCCCCAGGCCTGCGTCCCTTCATCCCCGAGAAGGACAGCCAGCACTTCGAGAACTTCCTGGAGACCATCGGCGTCAAGGACGGCCGCGGCATCATCACCGACAGCTTCGGCCGCTACCGCCGCTCGCTGGGCCCCGCCTCCGCCGCCAACGGCACCGCCGCCGGCAGCTCCGACGAGCAGTCCGTGCCCTCCGAGGAGGACGAGTGGGACAGGATGATCTCCCACATCAGCAGTGACATCGAGGCCCTGGGCTGCAGCCTGGACCGGGACTCGAACTGAGGGAGCCCGGGAGCTGCGGCCGCCGGGAGCGCGGGGCGGAGTCACCCCCGGGGGGACAGGGGCTGCCCCCCGTGGGGACACGGGATGGGGACCCGGTTCCAGGGTGATCCTGGGCTGTGGAGCTGCCCCTGGAGGGACCCCAGGACAGGGAGCTGCCCTCGGGGGGATCCAGGACACAGAGCTGCCCTTGGAGTGGGACATGGAACACAGATCTGCCCCAGGGGGACTCTGGAGCTGCCCTCAGAGGGGACATGGAACACGGATCTGCCCCAGGGGGACTCTGGAGCTGCCCTCAGAGGGGACATGGAACACGGATCTGCCCCAGGGGGACTCTGGAGCTGCCCTTGGAGAGGCCCAAGAACACCAACCTGTGCCCTGATGGAGATCCTGGGGCATGGAGCAGCCCTTGGAGGGATCCCAGACCCCTCATGTGGGATCTGGGGGCTCCACTGGGTGTCTGCACTGGCCCAGCCCCCTGAACAGCTCCAGGGGCTCCAGCTGGGAAGTGGGGGGACAGAGCTGGATTTGGGGGCAGGTCTCCTCCCAGAGGGACAGATCAGCTCCTGAGCATGCCCCTGTGCTCCTGAGGGATGTGCTGAGTGCTGGGATCTGTTCCCAAGGGGCTGGATCTGCTCCCCCCCACCCAGTTTACAGTTTGCACAGCGGCTCCCCCAGAACTGCCCCCCCCAATGAAGTTTTACCACAATGTGAATTTTTTCACCCTCTCATCCATGGTACTGGAACATTCCTGAACATTCCAGCTGCCCCAGACTGGGATTGCCCCCAGTCACTGCCCCCCTCCTCACCCACCCCGGGGTGCTGCTGGGGAGAGGAGCTTGGTGGGACCCCCCCTTATCTGCATCCCCTGGTTGTGGGGGGGTCCCCAGATGGGCCTGGGAGGTGCCATTGCCCCACAGCCACACCCAGGGGCTCTGTCTCCTCCCTCCCCCTCTGGGGCCACACACTGACTCAGCACTTTGGGAATCTGGAACATTCCAGAGGCCTCGGCCCCAAATGCCCCCAAATCCCTCTGCACCCAGCTCTGTCCCCGTCACCCTGCCCACACTGGGGTGTCCCCCCCCTTACCCCACTGGTGACCCCCTCATGTTTCCCAGAGCTATCCCAACCCCTCCTCCCTCTGGAATTCAGGTGTCCCAGGAGCTCAGGCACCTCCAGGGACTCACCTGGAGCACACAAAGTGTCCCCTCCTGCACCTTTCCCCTTCCAACACCAAGAAAATGGAGAGCAGGAGAGGGCCCCTGTGACACCTGGGATTTGGGGACCAAGAGTTCCCTCCCTCCCTTCCCAGCCCTTGGAGCTCAGGGGCTTCATTCCCATCCCAGGTCCCTGCCACACCCCAAATCTGGAGGGGAGGGGGCTATCCCTGATCCCCAGGGATGCTGGCACCACCCTGGGGTGCAGAACCTGTCCCTTCCACCTCCCCATCCCAGTTACACCCCCAGGCACTGCCCCGATCCCACTGCTGGCAAAGGGGCCCCCCAAGCCCCCCAAATCAGGCCTGGGAGGCGAGGTGCGATCCAAGGGGTGCAGGAGGCCTTTATTGAGCAGTCCAGGGACCAGGAGGAGGATGGGGGGCAGGAGGAAGGGTCTGGGGGGGCTCTGTGCATCTCTACAGGGGGCCAGGACACCCCCAGCTGCTACATGGTCAGTTCCTGTGGGAGAGAGCAGAGGCAGGAATGCCAGGTCACCCCGAATTCCTGCTGGGGAGAGGGGTCTCAGCCCCAATCCCAATACCCCCTGGGAAAAGGGGGGGTTCATGGCCCCAGTTCCCCTGGGAAAAGGGGAGGGCGTCTCAGCCCCCGCTCACCATGATGGCGTTGACGATGTCGTTGTTGTTGTGCCTCAGGGCTCTCACAGCCTTGGGCCGGGACACGTTGGCCTGGGCCATCACCAGCTCGATGTCCCGCACCTCCAGCCCCGTCTCATCCACCTGGGGAGGGGGCACAGCGCCGTGAGAGCCCCCCCGAGCACACACCCAGCCCTGAATGCCACGGCCCCCCTGCACAGCCCCAGGCCACACCATCACCTCGGCCATGCCCAGCTGAGCCTGCCCCGTCCACCCCAGGGTCACAGCGCTGGCACCCCCGGGGGTCTCAGAGCCCCCCAGCTCACCTCCTCCTCCTCCTCGCTCTCCTCCTTGATGGCCAGGGCAGGAGCAGCGTCGGTCACCAGCGCCGAGTGCTCCAGGGGCACCTTGAACTTCTCAGCCGCTGCCTTGTGCACTTGCTGGGACAGGTCCTCGATCTGGGGGACACACGGGGTCACCAGAGCCCCCCCGAGCCAGGAGCTGCCCCCCCAGAGCCCCCCGAGCCCACCTTGGCCTCCCCAAAGACGATGTAGATGTCGGAGGCGGGGCTCTTGAACACGTCGGGTTTGGAGATGACGAACAGGATGTTCTTGGACTTGCGGATGGTGATGCGGGTGACGCCGTGGATCTGCCGCAGCCCCAGCTTGGACATGGCCTGGGGGGGCACCGAGTGAGCCCCCACAGCGCCGGGGGAGGCACAGCCCCCACAGCACCCCAAATCCCCGGGTAACACAGCCAGGCACGGGGGATGCTGTCCCTCAGCGTGGCCAGCATGGGACACCCCCAGCCCACGGTGGGGACCCCCCGAGTCCCACCCCAGAGCGGGGACCTGCCCCTCCCAGGCCTGAGCCCCCTCCCCATGCCCGGGATGGGACCCCAGCCCCGAGGGGCAGCCCTGGGCCCCCCACCTTGCGGGCCTTCTTCTCGCTGCGGCTCTGCTTGGCTTTGCTGAGCGGCTCCTCCCCGGGCCCGAGGCCGTGGCCGAGGGGCACCTGCGACACGGGAGGGGGAGGTCAGGGATACCCCCACAGCCGGGGGTCCCCAGCACCCCCCAGACCCCCCCAAGCGCACCTGGGGCTGGGCAGGGGGCAGCTCCGAGCCCTCGGGCTCCTCCAGCTCCGGGATGGACTCGTCGTTGCTCTCGGACTCGTTCCCAGACCCTGCAGAGGGGGGTTTGGGGTAAGAGGGGCTCCCGGGCCCCCCAAAGGCGGGGACACCCCACGGGACCCCCCCCTCACCTCGGTGGTTGGGCTGGCAGCGCTGGGGGGCCGGGGGGGGCTGGGGGGGCTCAGCCTCGCTGGACGAGCTCGACTCCGACTGCAGAGACCCCCGGGGGGGCGCCCGGGCCGCCCCCGCCCCCGGGACCCCCGCCCGGCCCCGGGGCTCCGGCTCCTTCTGCGGGGGGGCCTGGGGGGCTGGAGGGCACAGGGGCTGAGCTGGGGGGTCCCCAGAACCCCTCTGGGGGTTCAGCCCCGCCTGCTCACCCCCACTGCCCACCCAGGGACCCCCCAAAGGCACCCCCAGACCCCCGGGTGCCCACCCCGCTCCCAACACCCCATGGCAGGGAGAAGGGGGGGGGCTGAGCTGGTGGTGCCCCCCAAACCCCCCGTGGGGCTGCACCCAGGGACCCCCCAAAGTGCCCTTCACCCCGGGCAGTGCCCGCCCCAGTCCCACGGCCATGGGGGGGTTTTGGGGGGGTCTCTTACCTTCGAGGTGCTTCCTGGAGAGGGGCAGCCCCGGGGGGGGCTCCTGGCCGGGGGCGGGCCTGGGGGGGCTGGGAGGAGGCACTTGGCTGAGTTTGGGGGGTGCAGGGCAGGGGGGCTCAGGAGGGGGCCCCGCAGCGGGCAGGGGGCTGGGGGCGACCCCCCCCACGGCCTCCTCTTCCTCCTGCTGCTCGGGGGGGGCCCCGGGGGGACTCGGGGGGACTTTGGCATCGGTGTCCCCTGCAGCGTGGCCGGGGGGCTCAGGGCCCGGCCGGGGGGCGGGGGGCTCCTCTGGGGCGGGGGGCGGCAGCCCCGGGGCCCCCCGGAGCTGGGCGGTGACCCCCGGGCCGGCCCCGCGCCCCGAAAAGGCACCGGGTGGTGGCAGCAGCTCGGGGGGGGCCGGGGGGGTCCCCACGAACACCTCCCGCTCCGAGGCCGTGAACTGCGGCGAGGGGGGCGCGGGGGCCGCATCCTCATCCTCCTCATCCTCTTCTTTCTCTTCCTCCTCATCCTCTTCCTCCTCCTCGGGCTCCCCGCGGGGCCCGGCGGGGCTTGGCGCGGCCTCTCCCCCCTCGGGGACGGTGACAAAGCCGGAGCCGGTGCGGGACGTGTCCGGCAGCGCCGGGGACAAACCCTCGGCCGAGGCGGTGGCCGCGTCCCCCCGCTCCTCAGGGACATCCCCGGGGGGCTGTGACAGCGGCGCCTGTGCCAGGGGACACGCGGGGGACTCGTGGGACGGGGCCACCCCGGCTGCCAGCGCCACGGGGGACACGGCCCGGGCAGGGGGACACGGGGCAGGGACAGCGACCGGGGGGCTGGGGGTCACCACAGCAGGGGTCACGGGGTCCTTCAAGTCGGGGGTCACTGCAGTGGCGGTCATGGTGCCCGTCTCAGTGGTCACAGGGGCCATGGAGCCGGGGGTCACGGTGGCTGTCTCGTCCTGGGGGCTTGGTGTCACCGATGTCACCGGTCTGGTGTCCGTGGTGTCCATCACGCTCGGGGTCACTGGGGCAGCGTCCATGGTGTCCATCAGGGCAGGTGTCACCGATGTCACCAGGTCGGTGGCCGCAGTGCTACTCTCATCCAGGGAGGGTGGTGTCACTGATGTCACCAGGCTGGTGGCTGCAGTGGCCATCAGGGTGGGTGTCACTGGTGTCACCAGGACAGTGTCCACAACTTCCATCTTGTCCAGCGGGCTGGGTGTCACCTCTGTCACCAGGTCAGTGGCCGTGATATCCAGCTCATGCGGTGGGCTTGGTGTCACTGGTGTCACCAGGCTGGTGGCCACAGTGTCGGGCTCATCTGGGGGGCTGGCTGTCACCGGTGGGGTTGGTGTCACCAGGTCCGTGGCCATGGTGTCCTCTGGCTCATCTGGGGAGCTTGGTGTCACCGTTGTCACCAGGCTGGTGGCCACAGTGTCCAGCTCATCTGGTGGGCTTGTTGTCACCAGGCTGGTGGCCACACTGTCCGGCTCATCTGGTGGGCTTGTTGTCACTGTTGTCACCAGGCTGGTGGCCACACTGTCCGGCTCATCTGGAGGGCTTGTTGTCACTGTTGTCACCAGGCTGGTGGCCACACTGTCCGGCTCATCTGGAGGGCTTGTTGTCACTGTTGTCACCAGGCTGGTGGCCACACTGTCTGGCTCATCTGGTGGGCTGGGTGTCACTGGTGTCACCAGGCTGGTGGCCACACTGTCCGGCTCATCTGGTGGGCTGGGTGTCACTGGTGTCACCAGGCTGGTGGCCACACTGTCAGGCTCATCTGGTGGCCTTTGTGTCACCAATGCCACGACATCAGGGGCTGCAGCATCCAACGGGCTGGGTGCCACCAGGCTGGTGGCTGTGCTGTCCATCAGGCTGGCTGTCACCACATCGCTGTCCGCAGTGTCCAGCGGGGTTGGTGTCCCTGGTGTCACCACGTCAGTGTCAGGTGGGCTGGGTGTCACCGGGCTGGGGGCTGCAGCATCCATCTCGTCCAGTGGGGTTGGTGTCACTGGTGCCACCAGGTCGGCGTCCACCGAGTCCATCAGGCTGGGTGTCACTGGTGCCACCACGTCATTGTCTGCAGTGTCCATCTGATCCAGGGGGGTCGGTGTCACTGGTGTCCCCAGGGTGGTGGCTGCAGATCCCAGCTCGCTGTGGCCGTCAGCGCTCCCCACTGTCCCTGTGCTGAGCTCAAGGTCGTTGTCACCATCACTGTCACCGCCAGGGCCGTCCTGGGGCTCCCCATTGGTGCCCCCCAGCTGGTGGCTCTGGGTGTCCCTGGCACAGAGCCCCAGGGCCTGGGGGACAGGGCCGGTCCCTGCCAGCTCGGGGCACGGTCCCTGCGCGGCTCCAGAACCTTCAGCGGCTGCCGCCGCCTCCTCGGGGGGCTCGGCCGGGGGCCACGCCCCGGTGATGGGGACAAAGGCGTCGCCGTCCAGCTGCGCGTCCCCTCCGGGGGGTGCCGGGGGTGTCCCCGGGGATCCGGGAGCGGGGGGGTGACATGGGGACCCGGCCCGGAGGTGCAGCTCCACGCCGGGGGGCGCGGGGGAGCCCGGGGGCGTCCCCGGGGGTGTCGCGGTGTCCCCCGCGTGCCGCTCGCTGCCGTAGAGCCGCTCGTCCTCGTCCCCGTCGTAGGCGGCCGAGTCCGAGGAGGCGTCGGTGTCGTCGCGGAAGGCGAAGGCCTCGTCCCCCCCCTCGGGGATGGAGCTCTCGGACAGCGAGCGCAGGAAGGACGCCGAGGTGCTGCCTTCATCCTCCTCCTCCTCCTCGGGGGCGGCCCGGGGTGAGATCTCCACGGCCTCGGCCTGGAAGAGGAGGCTGCCGCGGAACGGGAGCAGCGCCGCCGGGATCAGCCCCGAGCCCTCATCCTCCTCCTCCTCCTCCGGCGTCTGCCCGTCCTCATCATCATCATCATCCTCGTCCTCGTCGTCCGCACAGCCCGGCGGCGCGAAGGGACCGTCCTCGTCGTCATCATCCACATCGTCATCCTCCTCCTCGGGGGACAGCGGGGGGAAGGCCGGGGGGTCTCCCAGGCCGGGGGGCAGCCCCAGGGCCCCCCCCAGCCCTTCGGCCTCGCCCTCAGCCTCACCCAGGCCTTCGGCCTCGGCCGCCAGGTTGGGGGAGCAGGACGGGGAGGTGCTGGCGGTGCCCGAGGAGCCCCAGCTGCCGCCCTCGGCCGTCATGTAGGAGCCCGAGGGGGACGTGGGGGGCGAGCAGAGCCCCTCGCTGTCCCCGTCCGTCGGCTCCTCGGGGGGCACCGGCCGCGCCCCCCCCGCCCGCACCGGCGTCGAGGGCGCCGTGAAGAAGAGCTCGGGGTCCAGCGCGGGGGGGCGGCCCGGGGGGGGCTCCTTGGGGGGCGCGGGGAAGGGACAAGGCACGGGGGGCCCCCCCCGCGGCTCGGGCGGGGCGCAGCGCGTCTCCTCGCCCATCACGATGCGCGTGTCCAGCGGGTCCGCGGGCGGGGGGCGGCACGGAGAGCCGGGGGGGGCGGCGGCGGCGGGGCCGGGCTCACAGCTGGCCCCCTCGGGCGGGGGGCGAGCCTCCTCCTTGGCCGGCATCGGCGGGGGGGCTGCGGAGAGAGGGGACAGCCCTGAGTGCCACAGTGTCACCGCGGGGCCACCATAGAGAGAGGGGACAGCCCTGAGTGCCACAGCCCCCGCGGTGTCACCATAGAGAGCGGGGACAGCCCTGAGTGCCACAGCCCCCCCAGGGCCACCATAGAGAGCGGGGACAGCCCCGAGTGCCACAGCCCCCCCAGAGCCCCCCAGGGTCACCCTGGCACGGTGGGAGGGGGGACACCCGGGGCAGTGCCCTGGGTGGGGGCTGGTGTCAGCCGACCCAGGCAGGGCTGGGAGAACAGGTGAGCCCCATCCGGAGCACCTGGGGAGGGTCCCCGGAGGTTTGGGGGCACTGAGGGGGAGCAGCAGCAGCCGCCCGTCCCCAAACCCCTCTCTGTGGGGGCCACGCGGTTGCACCAGGGCGGGACCCCAGCCCAGACCCCTCCATTGGGAGGGGGGCGGAGGGCGCATCCCCCCCTCCCCAGGGCGCCCCGTGCCCACACCTGCGCTCAGTTTGGGGGTGCTCAGCCCCGCCGTGCCCACCCCTACCCCAAAAAGCCCCCTAGGTCCCCCCCTCATCACCTGAGGCCCCCGGGCACGGCTCCATGGGGCGGGCGGGCGGGCGCGCTCGGAGCCGCGGTCGCCCCCGGCCCCTCCTGCAGCACCGACCCCGCGCCCCCCCGGGCGTTATAAAGGGGTGGGGGGGGCGGGGCGGCGCGGGGGGAGCCGGGAGGGGGCGGGGCCTCGCGGGGGATTTGCGGGGCAGGTGCCGCTGATCCCCCCCCCCATAGTCTGGAATGGTTCGGTCCGGCACAACCCCCCCGCCACGTGCTGGGGACCCCCGAAAGGCTCCTTGGGGGGGGGGTCCTGTCCCCGTCACACCCCGGGGCCGTTCTGGGGTGATTCTACCCGGTACGGGGGGGGCTGCGGGACCCCGTTAATCCAGCCCGTCCCTGCCTGGCCGCGGCCGCCCCCCCACCCTCGGGGGCTGTTTTGGGGTCCTCTCTGCACACCCTGACCCCCCCGCACAAACCGGACCCTCGCCCCTTTCTCGGGGACCCCCAGCCTCAGCTCTGGGGGGCACGGAGGCACAGGGTGACCCTGGGGTGTGTCCCTGTCCCTGTCCCCGCTGTCGCCAGCCCCGCAGGAGGTGCGGGTGACCCTGGCGGTGCTCCCGGCCGTCCCCAGCCCCCCCCGCAGGTGACAGTGGCCCCCGGGGACAGCGGTGTGGGGTGACCTTGGGCTGTGCCTCAGTTTCCCACCCTGGGGGGGGAATGGTGCTGGGGAGGGGGGTGAGGCTCAGCCCCCCCCAGTCCCACCAGCACCTCCCAGTCCGGGGGGCACAACCCGCCGGGTTCCGGGGCTTCAGGGTGGTGACCCCGAAGCGAGGTCCCCAAAGTCCCCGCGCCCTGGCGGGGGGGCCGGGCCGGAGCCCCCCGGTACTGCCAGGCCAGAGCCCGGGCGGTGGCGGCTGCCGAGAGCCGCGGCCGGGCCGCGTCCTCCCGCTCCATCCTCATCCTCCCGCTCCATCCTCATCCTCCCGCTCCATCCTCATCCTCCCGCTCCATCCTCATCCTCGGGCTCCGTCATTCCCGCTCTGCCCCTCATTCCCCGCTCCATCCTCATCCTCGGGCTCTGTCCTTCATCCCCCGGCTCCATCCTCATCCTCCGGCTCCATCATTGCACCTCTGTCCTTCATCCCCCACCTCGATCCACCTTCCCTCTGCTCCATCCTCATCCTCCCATCCTGCACCCCTCCCTGCTCCGTCCTTCATCCCCTGCTCCATCCTCATCCCTCCATGGCTCCCGCTATTCCTTTTATCTCTCCATCTCCACCCTGACGGCTCCGGCTCCCTCCTCCCTGCCCCGTCCTTCATCCCACCGGCTCCATCCTCCTGTTCCATCCTCATCCTCCTGCTCCGTCCTTTCCGCTCCGTCCTTCATCCTTCCGGCTCCGTCCTTCATCGCCCCGCTCCATCCCCATTCTCCGGCTCCATCCCGCACCCCCATCCCTCCGCTCCCATTCTTCCTCTCCCTCCTCATCCTCCCTCTCCGTCCGCGCCCCCGCCGCCCCGGGCCTCACCTGCCTCCGCTCCCTCCGGCATCCCGTTCTGGGGCTCCGGTCCGCCCCCCCCGGCTCCCGGGGACTCTCCGGGCTCGGCGCTGCCCGCGGCCCCCCCCGGCCCGGCCCCCCCCGCTCCCCCCGCTCGGCTGGGCCGGGCGGACGCGGCTGCGGCGGCGGCGCGGGAGCATCAGCGGGGCTGCGGCGGGGGCGGGGGCCCCGGCCCGGCTGATGTCAGCGGGAACCGCGTCCCGCCCGGCCCCGGCTCTGTCGCGATAGAGGCTCCGTGCCGGAGGGCGCTGCGGGCCGGGGGAGGGGGGCGCGGGCCCACCCAGCGCTTGCATCAGCTCCGGGGGGGGGGGCGAGGGCGGGGCCCGGCCTCAGTTTCCCCCACTTTGTCTCCTAAGAAAGGGGGGATGAGCATCCCGCGGTGTCCCGGGGGGGGGACACAGGGCGGGGCCCCCCCAAAGCGTCTGCGCGGGCCTGGTGGCACCGGGGGGGACAGGGAGGGAGCCGCGCGTCCCCCCCGCTGTCCCCGAGCACCGGGGTGCGGGATCAGGGCGGGCATTGTCCCCCGGGCCGGCCGTGCCCGCGCCGCCGGTGCCAGGCACAGCCCCGGGCGGTGACTCAGCAGCTCCCGCCCGCCGGGTGTGCCCCCTCTGTCACCGTGTGTGTCCCCTCTGTCACCGTGTGTGTGCCCCCTCTGTCACCGTGTGCGTCCCCCGTGTCACTGTATGTGCCCCCCTCTGTCACCGTGTGTGTCCCCCGTGTCACTGTGTGTGTCCCCCGTGTCACCGTGTGTGCCCCCGTGTCACTGTATGTACCCCCCGTGTCACTGTGTGTGCCCCCCTCTGTCACCGTGTGTGTCCCCCGTGTCACTGTATGTGCCCCCCTCTGTCACTGTGTGTGCCCCCCGTGTCACTGTGTGTGCCCCCCTCTGTCACCGTGTGTGCCCCCCGTGTCACTGTGTGTGCCCCTGTCACTGTGTGTCCCCCCCAGCCGCCCGTGTCCCCCTCCCTGGGGCCGGAGGGGTCCCGGTGGCCGCTAATCCGTCCCCCCCCGGTGTTTCACCCCCACTTTGTCCCCCTGCCCCGTGCGGGGACCCGTGACCCCACGGGGGACACGGCCGGGATGTGACCCCCCCCAGGCAGGGACACCCCCGGCCCGCGGGGTCCCGGTGCCCCCGGTGCCACCCCCAGCCCCGCCCGAGCCACCCCCGGGTCCCTGTCCCCGTGGCCCGGGGACAATCCCGGGATAATCGGGAATCAAGGCCGCTGGTGGCTCCTGATGCCGATCCCGGCTCAGACCGGCGGCCCCGGGCACAGGGGGGGTGGGCACAGCCACGTGCCACCAACACCGATGGCACCGCCCCCACTGCCACCCGTCCAGTGTCACCCCACCCTGCTGTCACCCATTCCCAGTGTCACCCAGTGCCAATGTCACTGTCCCTGCCATCACCCGGCTCCAATGTCACCTGTCCCCAGTGTCACCCCACCCTGATGTCACCATTCCCAATGTCACCCAGCCCCAATATCACCTGTCCCTGCCATCACCCAGCCCCAGTGTCACCCGACCCCAATATCACCCTGCCCCCATGTCACTCAACCCCAATGCCAACCACCACAGATGTCACTTGGCTCCCATGTCACCTGGCACCAGTGTCACCGAGCCCCGATGTCACCCAGTCCCAATGTCACCTGCCCATGATGCCAACTAACCCCCATGTCACCCAGTCCCAATGTCACCTGGCCATGATGCCAACTAGCCCTGATGTCACCCAGCCTGGATGTCACCTGGTCCCAATGACACCTGGCACTGATGGCACCCATCCCCAATGTCATGTGTTGCCAATGCCACCCATTCCCACTGTCCCGAAGTCCCCAATGATACCCATCCCCCAATGTCATGTCCCAAATGACACCTGTCCCAATGTTCCCGTCCCCAGTGTCACCCACCCCCAATGCCACCATGCCCAGCCACCATCCCTGTACAGTTCTGTGTTTATTTGAGCTGTTGGTGACACGGAGCAGCAGTCACACAGTGACACAGGGACAGGGGGACCTCACTGTGGGGTCCCACCCGGGCACGGTGACCTGGTGACGTGGCCACCTCGCTGTGGTGACGTGGCCACCTGGGCTCAGGCACCAGGCCACCTCGGCACGGTGACCTGCTCACATTGGCACAGGGACAGGGCCAGCTGATGAGGTGAGGCGGGCTAGGTGGCCGTGTCCCCTGCCGTGTCCCCTGCCGTGTCACTGGCCAGGGCCTTGGCCACCTTGTCCTTCAGGTAGGCCACGCGCTGCCGCTCCAGCTTCAGCTCCAGGAACTCGTAGTGTGGCACCTGCAGGGGACAGGGGTGTGACAGCAGCCGCGGGGTCCCAGCTGCGTCCCCTCCTGTCCTGCCCTGGCTGTGCCATGCCACCCACCTGGGAGGGTCCCAGTGCCCACCCTGGGACGTGCCACCACCCCCCAGGTGTGACAGCGACAATGAGAGCAGGGGCTGGCAGTGACCCTGGGGGTGACACGTGGCTGTCACACTCCCCCCGGGCTATAATTACCCCCAGGGGTTAATCCTGGATGACCCCACAGGATCAGCTCATCTGTGTCACCTCCCTGTCACCCCTGTCCCCCCCAGCCCCTGGCAGGTGGCCGGGGGGATCACGGTGGCTCATCCCTGCTGAGCCCTGGGCTGGGGGCAGCTGGCAGCCCCCCAGGGGGTGTCAGAGCCTCCATCCCAACGGTGCCAGCTGTGCCCAGCTGTGCCAGGGGGACAACAGCACCTGGCTGGTGTCACCAGGGTGGCCATGGGCACAGGGACCGTCCCCTGGGCTGGGCACAGGTGAGGCCACACCTGAGTCCTGGGGACACCTCACAGGATGGGGCTGGGCTCTACTCCTGAGAGGGAGGCTCAGGTGGCATTTGGGGAATATCTGGGGAACATTTTGGGAATATTCTGGGACGATTTGGGAACATTTTGGGACTCTTTCTCTTTGGAAGGACTGGGAGGGTCCAAGTGCCAGGTGGATGTGTCACCCGGGGCCAGGCCCCATGGTGGCCCTGGCAGTGCTGGACACACGCAGGGGCTGTCAGGGACTGGGGGGTGTTCCCAGCCCCGGGGTGGGTGTTGCTGGGTGTTGCTGGATGTTGTTGGGTGTTGTTGTTGGGTGTTGCTGGCTGTTGCTGGGTATTGTTGCTGGGTGTGTGTTGCTGGCTGTTGCTGGCTGTTGTTGCTGGGTGTTACAGGGTGTTACAGGGTGTTGCTGGCTGTTGTTGTGGGTGTGCCATGCTCACCTCGGCCAGCAGGAAGCCGGCAGCTCGGAGGTGCCTTCGGGCCATGGAGCCCCGGCCCAGCAGCTCCCGGCCCCGCGAGCTGAACTGCGGCAGCTCCCAGCGCAGCACGGCCACCCTGGGCACAGGGACAGGGACAGCCGTGAGCATGGGGACAGGGACAGGGACAGCCGTGAGCACGGGGACAGGGACAGCCGTGAGCACGGGGACAGGGACAGGGACAGCCGTGAGCATGGGGACAGGGACAGCTGTGAGCATGGGGACAGGGACAGGGACAGCCGTGAGCATGGGGACAGGGACAGCCGTGAGCATGGGACAGGGACAGGGACAGCTGTGAGGATGGGGACAGGGACAGCCGTGAGCATGGGGACAGGGACAGGGACAGCCGTGAGCATGGGGACAGGGACAGCCGTGAGCATGGGGACAGGGACAGCCGTGAGCACGGGGACAGGGACAGCTGTGAGCATGGGGACAGGGACAGCCATGAGCATGGGACAGGGACAGCCGTGAGCACGGGGACAGGGACAGACATGAGCACGGGGACAAGGACAGGGACAGCTGTGAGCATGGGGACAGGGACAGCCGTGAGCATGGGGACAGGGACAGGGACAGCCGTGAGCATGGGGACAGGGGACAGGGACAGCTGTGAGCATGGGGACAGGGGACAGGGACAGCCGTGAGCACAGAGACAGGGACAGCCGTGAGCATGGGGACAGGGACAGGGACAGCTGTGAGCACAGGGACAGGGGATGGGGATAGCCATGAGCACAGGTACCCCGGGGACAGGGACAGCCGTGAGCGTGGGCACCCAGAGCAGAGACGGCCCGGGGGTGCCTGAGCTGTGCCTCTCCCACCACCTCCTGTCCCCTTCCTGTCCCATGTCCCCTTCCTGTCCCATGTCCCCTCCCTGTCCTCCTCATTCCACCTCTTCTCCCCCACTGACCCTTTCCATTCCCCCTCCTCATCCCTCCCTGTTCCCCTCCTCTTCCTCTCCTCTTGTCCCCCCCTTCCCCTCCTGTCTTCTCCACTGTCCCCCCTTCCCCCACCAGGGGAGCCCCTGCTGTCCCCACCCACCTCCTGTCCCCCTCCTGTCCCCACGCACCTCCTGGCCCCTGGTGGCAGTGGCTTTGTCCCCTCAGAGTGGGACAGGTGGGGGGCAGTGTAGTCCCTCACGGGCAGAGGTTTGTTGTCACTGTCCAGCACCGCCTCGGCATCTGCAGGGACAGAGGGGACAGGGGACTCAGAGCCACCCCAGAGGGGCAGTGTCCATGGGGATCCACCTCCCCGGGTCCCAGCAGGGGACAGAGGGGACTCAGAGCCACCCCAGAGGGGCAGTGTCCATGGGGATCCACCTCCCCGGGTCCCAGCAGGGGACAGAGGGGACTCAGAGCCACCCGTGGGGCTCTGCTGAGCCCACCCCAGAGGGGCGGTGTCCGTGGGGTTCCGCTCCCCAGGTCCCAGGAGGGGACAGGGGACACGCGGAGCACGGGAATTGCTGTGGCAGCCGGTGGCCGGTCCCCGACACTGAGAGACAGGGACCGAATTTGACTGGGCTGCAGAGGGTGACAGGGAAAGGTGACAAGGCTGGAGGGTGACAGGGGAAAGTGACAGGGCTGAGGGGTGACACAGGAGGCTAACGGGGGACAGGGCTGGGGGTGCCCAGGGTGGGTGGCACAGATGAGGGGTGGCACTGGCAGGTGCCAGGGTGGGTGCCCAGGCCTGGGGCTGGCACTGGCAGGTGGCACTCACCAATGT